CCCCCCCCCCCCCCCCCCCCCAGTTTGGGAGACTTTCTATCTTTTGTTCTGGATGGAGTTGCACTACCTCAGGCAAAGCCTATGCACAATTGGGGGTCTTCCTCCTGCAGCTCAAAGAAAAGGTGACAGCCATGGCTAGGAGAACCATTGCATAGCTATTATGCACCAGTTGACATCCACTCCTCAGCCAGGAGGCTGTACTCACAGTCCTTCATGTCTTGGTCACCTCCCAATTGGACCACTGCAAAGAACTTTAAATGGGGCTGCATTTTGAAGGTTCAGCTCTGGGGTGTCAAACTGGCGGCCTGTGGGCCGGATGTGTCACGCGCAAGCCATGCCCACCCCACTATGCAAAGGCAAAAACCGTCATGATGCGTCACGTGACGCGATTGAGTTTGACGCCTGTGGTTCATCTGATGCAAAATACGGCAGCCTGGGCAATTAAAGGTCCTTATTCAGCATGTGCTCTGCAAGCTGCATTAATTGCCAGTACGCTTCTGGCTTCAATTGAAGGTTGTAGTAGTTACCTATAAAGGCTTGCAACTGGGTTATTTGCAGGAATGGCTCTTCCCTATTGTATTTACTTTTCTGTTAGATCTCACAGGAGAGGGATGCTTTGGGTCCAGTTCATTAGGAAATGTCATCTGGCAAAATCCAGAAACAAAGCCATGCCCTGTAGAACAAGATTTCCCCAGAGCAGACCTGGGCATTTTATGGCTCCTGGGCCACATCCAGCCCTTTGACTGCCCCGTCCAGCTACATCAGTTGGAAGTTAGAAAATAAGTGTAAACAGTCATGCCACAGAGGGCAGGAAAAAAAGCCAAGTGTGCTCCTTTAGTCAGCTGGTGAGAGAAAGAACCTCTCGACATCTGTGGCAGAGCAGCAGCCAAGATGAGGCAAGGCTCTGCGCTCCCTCCTCTGTCAACATGTGAGTGCCTGCAGCAGAATTAAGTTCAGTCTATTGGTTTGGCCCTCCACAACAATCCAAATTTCTCATGTGGACTCTTGGGTAAAATTAATTGCCAACCTCTGTCCCAGAGATTAGACTTGCCCTGGTTTTGCTGAGTGTTCATAAAACCTTGAAAACCAGCTTTGTTATTAACCCTTAGATCCCAGGTGTGTGGTTGAGCTTGTATCACGGTTGTATTAACTGTTGGTTATTTTTTAAATCTTGCCTGCTGTGTATATTGGAATTGGAAATGTACTTTTGTGTTCACTGGGAGCTTTTTTTCTACTACTGAAAACAGAATATTTAGATTATAGGAACAATATTAAATTGCAGTAGTATTTCAAGATCTTAGAATTGTGCTGTTGTTTTGCGTCTTGGACAGACTTGTAGGAATTATGTAAAAAAATAAATTTGGTTTTGGCAGAATAACAGCATAACTGTTGGAAGAGACCTTGGAGGTCTTCTAGTCCAACCCAATTTCTCCTGCATAATCAGGAGACCCTATACCATTCCAGACAAGTGGCTGTCCAGTCTCCTCTTAAAAGCCTCCAGTGATGGAGCAGCCACAAGCTATTTCACTGGTATCTCTCTGTCGTTTCCATTGAGGTGTGCATAAAACATACAGTTTGCATTCATATTGACATTTGTATTCATAAAGTCAAATTTAGCAGTATTTAGAGGTTAAATAATTAACCAATATTTGTTAGTAGAATGTTGCTAATAAGAATACTGCATTTATATAACACATACTTAGCAGTAGGAGTTCAAAAAACTGATTTGGATCTAGATAATTATGAGCCAAAGAAACATTGGTTGTGTTTGATTAACTCTTCATGGGAAAAAATTCCCAGTCCATTAAAGCAAAATACATGGGGAGGTATTTCTAATGTGAGGACACTGAATATGGAAGCTAAGCTATAATGGATGTGTGGGCTATGAGGAGGTCTAAAGTAATTTATATAAATCATCTTACCTCAATTTTGGTTCACATTTCTCACGTAATGCTCTTCTGCTAGGTTGGAAACAGCCCTTCTGTGGAAGAGGCTTTCCTCTAGTGGAAGGGCTCCTTTGGATCCAAGCCACTGGCTCCAGTGGCCATTTGGAACATATCTAACACTGCACAGGCAGTAGAGTGAAAAACCAGTGTCATTAAATGAACAATGCAGACACAGTTATGAAGCTGAATTTCCTAGAAAGGAACTTGGTAGGTATAATTATTTGCAATTTTTAAAACTTGTCTTTTGTGACTGAGAAAACCTTCTAGTAAGGAAATAGAAATGTAAAGATTAAAGCAGCAATATATTCACTTGGTATGAAATATGTTTTTCACCTACATGGCTTTGCTTTTAACCTTAAATATGTTTCTTAATTGTGAGATTTACAGGTAGTTGTATAATTGATTGCTGTTATTTTCATTAAAATATGTAATATTTATTTAAAATTGACAAATATTTTTCAAGCCACCTAATCTTACTTCATATGGCCTAACGTTAATGTTTTTTCCTCTTCGAAAACATAACTGATTTTTTAAATCTGTTCTATTCAGGAGGAAAAAAAGCAAGAGCAGAAGTCGTAGTCATGATAGGAAGAGAAGCCGAAGCAAGGACCGCAAACGAAGCCGTGAACGTGAAAGAAAGAAAAGCAAGAGTCGAGAAAGAAAGCGTAGTAAAAGTAAAGAACGGAGACGCAGCCGTTCAAGAAGCAGAGAACGTCGATTCAGAGGCCGTTACAGAAGTCCCTAGTAAGTTGTGTGAAACTATTGTTTTAGGTTTCTTTAAGTGTAGGTAAATAGTAAAACTTTTAGCTTGAATATTTTAGAAAATTCAGTTGTAATATAATTATATCAGTGTGATAGTTTTACAATCATTCAGTTTAATGGTTATGATACTACTAAGAATATATCTCTTAATGATAAATGTCAAACAGAATGATAATGGCTGTATATAATACTACTTTTTTCTTTAATCCTAGTTCTGGACCCAAGTTCAATAGTGCCATGAGAGGAAAAATTGGCTTGCCACACAGCATGAAAATAAGGTTTTGGTTTTTTTTGTTTAATGAGGGATTTAATGGTTTATATTGATATTTATTCCCTTCATAATTCCGTATGTTTTTTTTTACAGCAGACGTCGATCTAGGAGCAAAAGTCCTTTCAGAAAAGACAAGAGTCCTGTAAGGTAGGCATTTGAATCTTGCTTAATGTTAAATTTCCATAGCATATTGAATGTTCTACACATTTGCATTCTACACTGATATGTCATTTAAAAATTCTGTTCTCTGTAATTGGCTGCTCTTGAAATTTGCAAAGATTCTGCTAGAAATCAGACATACTGTGAGTGTAGAGATAATTGGCAGTGGGATTCTTCTAGACTGGCGTTGCTAATATGCAGATACGTGAACATTTCGGAAAAGCAGTTTAGAAAACTTTTGCTGAGAATGGGAGATCTATTAAATAGTACATTGAAGTTAAAAGTACTTTTATAATGCTGTAAATAGGTGAGGTGCCTATACTTGAAATATATATCCACTGAAACTGCAAACATCACTTTAGGCATAGGGCTAAAGAGAGTCAAAATTTCTTGTTATATCCAGTTCCTTGTCCCATGCTTGTATGTCATTTTATATGCACATTTTGCATGTTGAATATTTATTTATTATATTTATAGGTCACTCATGTCAACTGAACAGCATATAAGCAAAAAGAGCTAATCAATCAGCATGTTAATACATTTCCCACAGAGAGCACATAGTTCATAAACTAGTACCTGGGGAAAGCTAGGGCTTCAGAGTCTTAAGATGGCAGGATCAGGGCAAGTCAAACCTTCAGGAAATTGCTATTCCAGAGGCAGGTCCTGCAATAGAGAAGGCATGAGAGCTTAGCATTGGCTATAACCACATTCCAGTGCAAGAGTTAAAAGCATTCAAGTGAAGCTAAAATAGGAAGATGTCCAGGAAATCTCTTTCACTTCATTTGCAATATAGTCCATGTGAAAATACAAGGGAGATAGTTATGCAAACCTTGGGACAGAATTTATATATTGCTCAGGGAAAAAAACAGTGAAGACTGAAATGATTATCCTGATTCTGAAAGGAGGAGGGTAGATCTTGTGCTTTTGAAACACAGGGTACTTTCCCCCCGTCTTATAAAAGCAATTTAATGAATATCTGTATTTGAATATAGGTGATCTTAAAATAAAAATTAAATCTGGTCAAGCTATCTTGTTTAAATGTGTTTATATTGATAATAATATTAATAATAATTTCTTTTTTTCAGAGAGCCTATTGATAATCTTACTCCAGAGGAACGGGATGCTCGAACAGTATTCTGTATGCAGCTTGCTGCAAGAATTAGGCCAAGAGACCTGGAAGAATTTTTCTCTACTGTAGGAAAGGTGCGATATGGAGAATTTTTGACACTTTTTAAAATACCTTCTGGATTGTTCTGAGATATTTTATTATTTTATTTATTAATATCTACATCACCCATCTCATCTAAGTGACTCTGGGCATTTTACAACAGCGTAATAAAGCCATATTAATACATGAATGAAAGCATAGTTTAAAAACAGTTAAAATGGGTTAAAACCTGCAAGTGAAGATAAATCGGGTTAAATATTCAAAGATTAGGAGATAATCAAGCCAGCAGAAGAATCCTTGAACCACCAGCCATCACCAGGACTGCATCTTACATCTATGTGTAGGAGAAGGAATGACAGAAACTGGTGGCAGAGTGAAAGAAGAATCCCCCTAAAGTGTGTGTGCAGCCACATTCCGACTAAGTTCACCTTTTCCTGAATTCTGTTGGCCTTTATCTAGTACAGTGGTTCTCAACCTGTGGGTCGGGATCCCATTTGGGGTCGATCGACCATTTCACGGGGGTCGCCAAGCAAGGCTGTCCGCCATTTTTTTGTCTGCCATTTTTTCCCCCTTTTCCGGCGGGCGCCTTACCTCCCTTGGGCTGGGCCAGCTGGTGGTCGGCCTGCTCCATTTCTGCCGCTTGCCAGCTATGCCTCGGCCGGCGCAGGGGGCGGAACCACGCATGCGCGGCGCTCCCGGGCAGGGAAAGTCCTCGACTTTCGACCGGTTGGGTAGTCCTCGACTTACGACCGGTTTAGTCCTCGACTTACGACCGGTTGGGGTCGCGGCATTAAAAAGGTTGAGAACCACTGATCTAGTACCAAGATAGTGCTAATCTTAGATTCCTGTGCATGGGCATCATTAGCAATAAATCAGTTTAATTGGAACTTCATTTTTGGTCTTGATCTTTTGTGCCTCACACCATGCTAAGCCATGTCTTAACAGTCTTCTAGAAAATTAGAAGAGTAGCAGCTCACCTCATTTCTGGGGTAGGATGTTCCATTGGGTGGGAGCAGCAGCTGAGAAGGTCCTTCTGGATCCCATTAGTTGACTGACAGGACATGCAGCATGCTCTCCCTTGCTTAACCTGATGGCACAGGCTGATGTAATCAGGAGGAGACAGTTTCTCAGGTATTCTGGTCCCCATATCTTGAAGGGCTTTAAAGATGATAACTAACACATTGAGTTGAACCCAAAAGCAAACTAGCATCCAGTGCAGCTCATTTACATCCGTCATCCTAGAGGCACAAAAACTGCTCATGCTGCTGCTTTCTGCATCAGTTGCAGCTTCTGAATAATCTTCAAGGGTAGTCCCATATAGAGCACATTGTAGTTGTTCATCTGGGAACTGAGTAGGGGCATGAGTGACTGAAAGAACAGCTTTTCAGTCCAGGAAAGTGCATAGCTGGTGTACAACCTAAAGTTGAGCAAAGGCCCTCCTAGATATGATTGCCATCTGCTCCTTGAGCAGAAGTCATGAGTCCAGGAAGACCCTCCAGATTACTTACTGGATTTTTCTAGAGCAGTGCTATCCTATGCAAAACCAAGGATGGTAAACCCCCATAGCCACTCTGTTTTACCAGGTTCAGTTGAAGCCTGTTGTCCTCCCCCCCCAGGTTCGCAAAGCCTTGCTACAAGCTGTGTTACTAGCTCCCAGCTCCGGAACCAACCCAAAAGGATACCATGGTTGATGGTATCAAAGGCAGCTAAGGGTCAAGAAGAACTAGAATGGATGCACTGCCCCCATACTGCTCTTGCCAAAGGTCATCCAAAAGCTTCTATCCCATATCTGGGTCTGAATCCTTCCCTAAAACGATACAGTGGGAGACTGGGCGAAAGTTGTCCAGAACAGTGGGATCCAGTGCCAGCCTCTTGAGAAAATTAGAGTCTTCTATGTATCAACGTATTTATTTTATATATAAACTAGCTTGTATAATGTAACTGTTACGATATTATTACTTTTACTACATGGACATGGTTCTTCCATTTTATGCATACAGTATAGTGTATTCTTGGAAGCTCCCTACTGTGCATATATAGTGCAAAATAGATAAGTTATCTGGATGGAATCTTTTGTTAAAATCTCAGAAAACTAAGTAATTCTGTATCAGATATGAAAATTTCAGGTAGTTTGATTTTATATATAGTGGTATATACATAGCAAATCCATTAAAGCCTTCACTATATAAAACAATATTTCACTTTTTTTCTAGGTCCGTGATGTACGCATGATATCAGATAGAAATTCAAGGCGTTCAAAAGGAATTGCTTATGTAGAATTTGTTGATGTCAGCTCAGTTCCTTTAGCCATTGGATTAACTGGACAGCGAGTTTTGGGAGTGCCAATTATTGTACAAGCATCTCAGGTAAGTTTGACTTGAATTATTTTCTTAGTGCTAATAGATAAGACTTGATTTGATAAGACTAAACGATTCCTCAGATGTTGACCATATTGCTTAGTGTGTTGTTTCTATGTCTATAGTCAACATTATTAAAACTAGCTGTATTATTTTCACGATTATTCAAAACCTTAATTGAAACCCCAGCTGCCTGTTATGACTGATAAGGAATAGTTTGTCAGATCCTAGATTACATCATACATGCAAATTGGTGGAGATGTTTACTGCATCACTGATACTCTTAATCCTTTTCCACCTTGGCTGATTATATCCAATAGATCTGGCTTATGTGAGAAATAAGATTGTGAAAGGACGAGTGGTTTCCAGTCTCTTTAGAAGAGACAAGGAGCTGGCTTATTTTGAAGACAACATGAAAAGATCAGTAACAATTGTTTTTATTTGGTGGAAGTAAGGAGTCAAAGGTTGATGGAAAATTCTAGGAATTTTGGATTATCCTGAAATTGAGTTTAGTTTAATTTTGCAGTAGACACTTCCCTGCCAACTTCTCAATATGAAAGACAGATAATCCTTTCCAGTTAGAGTTCATGATTTTCTTTAACTTTTGATGCCAAACCAATCATAAAAGACTGTTCATATGACAAAACTTTTAGCAGAAAATAGAACCAAATTTTGAAAGAAAAATAAAAGTATCAGCTGTGTTAATTCTCAGATAGCTCTCAAATATAAATGTTTTTATTCTCTAGTTTGTTCTCTAGCTTATATAACTGAGAAAGATTTGGATTTTGCATATATTTAAGAATGTTTCATGGTAGAATGCAGCATAGTTTATATTACTGTATATAGTAATCTATAGTATTTCCTGTGTATATAATTTTTTTAGGCAGAGAAAAACAGAGCAGCAGCAATGGCTAATAATTTACAAAAGGGAAGTGCAGGCCCCATGAGACTCTATGTAGGCTCATTACATTTCAATATAACTGAAGATATGCTTCGTGGAATCTTTGAACCGTTTGGCCGGGTAAGATTTTTTTTCAGTTCAATATCTCTGTGCTTTAATATTCAACACAAACAAGTATCTTTGTGCTTAAAAATCCTCTTATAGTATCATAATTTTTAATGTAATACAAACTCATTATAGAGCCAAGACAGTCTAAGCCCAAAGTTGAAATACAATAGGAGAGTAGGGAAGCAAATATTCCATGCGAGAGGGATGTTTATAAATCATGGGCTTTTCTCGTGGTCCAAGTACCGTTAACCTCTAACGTAGAGAACCTGTCTTCCCTTATTATTTCAACTGAACAGGAACATGGAAAGGAATATAGCCTAGCAACTATGTAGGCTTCTGTAAGTGATTACAGGTACTTGAGGTTACGCCCAGAAGCCTATTTGGTTACCAGTTGAGCATCCACAGTGCTGGTGTTTTCCTACAGTACTGTGCCACCACCATTAGTAATCAGACTGCTACACTCTCTATCAGCTGCAGTTTCCGAAATATCTTCAAAACAGTCCCAAACAGAACACATTATAAATATGATTTTATATGATTAATAGAATTTTAACATCAGAACAACTCAGATATAAAGCTGAAATAGTAATAGGTCTGTTTAATAAGTGCATATTAATTTTTTTAACATTTCCCTATTAAATCTGGAGTTATACTGTACATGTAGGTTTAAAAGGTGACTTTCTGAAAATTTAAATTGAGATCTTTAAAAATTGATCTTAGAAGCTGATAAATCGAAGTAATTTTATAATGTTTGATTTAGGTTTTATTGGTCAAAATTAGCATATTGAATTGGGCATTTGTATGTACAATTAATGTAATTAATATAATGGGGTTGGGGACGCCTGTTATAGCTAAAATGGCTCCAAATAAACAGTTTCTCCATCTTTTACTGTTCCTAAAAAATAAAAAGCAATATTGAAGGAGGTAGCATGTATTTTCTGTGTTTAACTTTCACCCTACATTAATTTTTATATATATATAAAATACTAATGGGTAATCTTTATCTTTTTCAGATTGAAAGCATTCAACTAATGATGGACAGTGAAACTGGGAGGTCCAAAGGATATGGATTTATTACTGTAAGTTTATATAGTTGACATATATGGGTTTGGAGACAATAAACTAACAGTTACCATGATAGTGCATTTATTATCAATCATAACTAGAAAATAATTTCAATGCATATAAGTAGCTTTTATATTGCATAATATGTGTGTAGCCCATTGTTTTAAATGGAGGCGGCATATGTTCTTGAACAGAAATCTTTCTTGTCACCCATCAATTTGTTTTAATTGATGATATTGAGATTAATCTGGGATGTTCTACAAGATCTCCCATGTTTTTTAATATTTTTTTCTGCGTGCTGCTGTGAGCCTTTAGAAATACGACAGCATAAAAATGTTAGTATAAGAAGTCCTCACTTAATGACTATCCTATTTAGCTATTGTTGAAAATTATGATGGCACCGAAAAATAAATTTTATGAACATTCCTTGCACTTAACTATTGCAGCATCCCCAATTGTCATGATCACCATTTGCACACTTTATAGCTGGTATCCAGCACACAGAATTAATGGAAAAGCCGGCAGTGAAATCAAGAGCCACAGTCATGTAATGTCTCGCTTAACAATCTCATTGCTTAGTCCCAACTGTGGTCAAGCAAAGATTACATGTAATAAATGCATGAACAGACATAAATGTTTTTGTCTGTTTTCACCCTTTTTATACCCTTATCTGTTGTTTAGGCCACCTCTATTAGTTTGTATCTAAATTGAATGTAGATATTGTGCTGCAACAATTGCTTCAAATGATAATTATATATTTATTTCAGTTTTCAGATTCAGAATGCGCTAAAAAGGCCTTGGAACAATTAAATGGATTTGAACTGGCAGGTAGGCCAATGAAAGTAGGACATGTGACTGAACGTACAGATGCATCCAGTGCCAGTTCATTTTTGGACAGTGATGAATTGGAAAGGACTGGAATTGATTTGGGAACAACTGGTCGTCTTCAGTTGATGGCAAGGCTTGCTGAGGGTAAGTGAATTAATGTGTACTATATACTTCTTTTTAACCCTAACCCTAACAGTTCACGAGTTTGCATGTCATCCTTGCTTATTTCAGTATCTGACATTGTATCATATTTTTCAATATTTCAATGAAATGAAGAGTTTATTAATATGATTTTCATAGTAGATTTAAACACAATCACATTTATTCTCAGAACTTTATAAAATGCATGTCCTAGTTAAAAGTAGATCCAAAAATAGAGTCAATGTTTTTTTTATTCCAGGTACTGGTTTACAGATTCCTCCAGCTGCCCAGCAAGCACTGCAAATGAGTGGATCATTAGCATTTAGTGCTGTAGCAGGTAAAATTAATTTTTAAATTATTATGTGGATATTATTCTAGAAAAATATAACTTTAAATAACAGTTTTGTGTGCTTCTTATTTGGAAGCAGGCACTCCTTTTCTAAAGCGTTTTCCTTTTGCCGAGATATACATCATGAATTTATATAATGAAAAAGTTACTTCAGGCTAGGACAGCAGGTGGGACTGGAATTGCTGTCGCTAAGTGATGCAGTTGTAAAGCGGGATGTCCTGTGAAAGTACTGCTTAGCAACAGCAGTTCCGGTTACTGTCATTAAACAAGGACTGCACAGTTGTTAATTGAAGACCTCATGTGACCATGACTTTCTGCCCACTTTCCCATTGACTTTGCTTGTGGGAAGATAGCAGGGGATGTCAAATTGTGATTGTGTGACTGGCTCACTGCTAAATGCGAGCTGGGCACTCAATGCTTGGATCACAATCACATGACCATAGGGATACTGGTCGTGACTACTACTTGTTCAACACCATTTAAGTTTGAACGGTCACTCAATGGCCAATGGCCATAACCAGAAGACCACATGTACTTATAATTTTCTATTGAGTGTGAAGTCTCTTCTCAAGATGCAATAGTATTAAAATTTTCCAATGTTCTTTTTCAGATTTACAGACAAGACTGTCTCAGCAAAGTGAAGGTGAGATTTAATTTGAATATTGTACATCATTTAGGAACTGGTCACCATTAGTTTGCTTGCCATTTATTAGAAGTAATCTCAGAATTTCAGACATTCTCTTCTATTGGATAAGAAAAGGGAAAAGCATTTATTCTACCATTTTGCCAGTTAAAGGTTACAGATACGTGAGCCTTATTTATAATTATTTATTTGTGTCTTGCCTTCATAATTTTTACAAATAACTCAAAATGGCAAATATACGCAACACATCTTCCTCCTCCTATTGTCCCAGTCACTTTGGCATATTCAGGAAAAACAGTAACACAACCAAACATTTGTAATACAGCCCATGGACCTCCACAGTAACATTGCAATATACAAGCAGTATATCAGAATATGCCAGTGCATTACTGCAATCACTTGACCCTGAAACCCATAAACTGAATCTTGTGTAAACTGAAATCTTTACATGTCATCAAGAATGAGCCATCAAAGGTAGAAGCAACTGTCTGGGTTATATATCTGGTAGTATATAGTCAGACAGAATGCCAGCTACATTAAAAAATGAAAGAACACACAACTGAAGCAAAAAGCCAGGATCAGAAATATCTAACTACTTGCTTATTACTTTTATTTATTATTAATTAGTCAATTGAAAGCAGTTTAAATACAGTTAAATAAGTTAATGACAGCTTCATATTATCCTAGTTTGATCTATTAGAAGACTTCTCAGTTGGACGGTCTTAACTATAAACTTGATCATGCTGGTAACAGACAAACTTAATCCTTGGAGAAAATAACCCAATAATTTCTTTGGAGGAAATAAAACAGTTGAATGCAAGATATTCAGTATTTGTTTCCAAGAGTTTGCTTAAACATTTTATTTGCCTGATCTGAGGTTAAGTACTGAATTGATAAGCCATATTGTAAAATATTTTTGATATATGTGACATATCAATCTGTTGCTCTAAAGTATTATTTTGGATAATCTGCCAGATTAGAAAACATCCTCCACCAACAATTTCAATCTTTAATTATAGAACAACTTTGTATAGGATAGGCCTGTTTCAGGTCTAACTGAAGAATCTTGAGTATACTTGTCCCATTCCCAGATTTGTGATTGAGTAAGGGGCTTTTAGTAGATTCTGTAATTCTGCAATTTACATTAATACTGGTGCTTTTGCCTTATAAACCTTTAATATAGTACTCAGTGAGCCTGCAGACTTATAATTCATTAACTTAAATAAACATTTTGGATTGGCCATGATCCTCATTGAATTTTTGAAAAAGCTTGTCTATGTTACTAAAAGCCACCCATAATTATGGGGAGGAGTTTTATGGGCTACCCATCAGTCACCCATTCCCTCAAAATGAACCATATATATGTAAATGGGAAAATGTAGAAACAATTGACCACACAAAAACAGCAGAACGGCTAGAGAATTCCTTTTCGGAGGCAATGCCTTCACTGATACTATTTTTGCCTTTTGAGTTAATAGACTCCTTTCATGGTTAGCTTGTGGATTCAGAATGAAAATCTTTGCTTATGAGGAATTGCATTTCATAACAGAATTATATTGTATATTTTTAAAGCTGATAGGTAAACCAAAATAAAAATAACTGAAAAGTCATTCTATGTTTTCTTCTTCAGTCTTAGCTGCAGCTGCTTCTGTACAACCACTTGCAACACAATGCTTTCAGCTGTCCAATATGTTTAATCCCCAAACGTAAGTTAACCTAATGTAGTTTTCTAAAATATTTCTCTATTTGGTATAAAGGCATAGGTTTATTGCCTTCTTAATTTATTCTGCAGTGAAGAAGAAGCTGGCTGGGATACAGAAATTAAAGATGATGTGATTGAAGAATGTAACAAGCATGGAGGTGTTGTCCACATTTATGTAGACAAAAATTCAACTCAGGTATGCTTTTAAAATCCATATCTAACGATAGCATTATGCTCAGGCCCTTTATAAAGTTTTATAAAAGTGTTCATGCTATTAATATATCCAATATATAGATTCATTTTTCACTGTTATTTGACTAAAGTATTCTAACATGAAGTGACACAAACATTTGCTTGTGTTTTTTGACATTTCGATATGTAAACAATTCCCATTTCTAATAATTAAAAATTTAAGACACAAATATAATAAAATAGCATGCAACAAAATATCATTATGACTGCCACATCCTCTCAGGATTGGGAACAGTGAAATCATACATTGATTACATCTACAAAAGCCTTCCAGATGGAGAGGTAACAGAGTTATAGGCCCTGTATAGTTTTATAGTGATAACTAGCACCTTGAATTGCATCTGGAAGTTTACTTGACAACCAATGTAGCTCTCCCAAAGGTAGCATAAGTACAGCCTGGGCCACACAGTATGTGTCTGCATTTTGAATCATTTGTAGCTATTGAATAATCATCAAAGGCAACCCATGTAGACTGAATTGCAAAAATCTAGATATGAAGAAGTCATGACTGTCAACAAACCTCTAATTTTAGGAAAAGCTGCCATAAATCCAGAGGTTTGACCATGGCTTCCACCTAATCTGCCAGCAGGAGCTGTGAGTCCAGGAGAACATTGGATGACTCTATATAGAAGTCAAAGAGTCAAAGCTTTTGAATCAACAGCCACTCTAAGTCTAAGCCTGTTTCTTCCCAACCAGTATCTAACTACTTTCAGGCACAAGATAGAATTTTATTCACATCTAATGTCTAGCCTGGAGCAGAGATGTATGTCTAGGGATCATCAATGTACTGACAGCATCTCATCCTGTACTGGGTGGATATCCCAAAAGTCCTTTTTCAAAAGTGAGCTGGACTTTTTTGTATTTTGTTGAAGATGTTTTGCTTCTCATCCAAGAAGCTTCAGTTCTGAAGAATCTTGGATTAGAAGTGAAGCCTCTTCAAGGAAAAGTCCAATTGCCTATTGAAAAAGCACCTTTGGGACAACCATGACATGGATGACTGAGAATCTCCATAGGCATATACTGGTGGATAATTTTTCCCAACCGCTTCATGTAAATATTGAATAGTAAAAATAATTTACTGTTCAATAGTATATATTAAATAAAAAGCCACACTTCATGATTCTTCATTTTGGAGTGCCCTGGGGGTATGATCTTTCCTTCCCTAACTGACTGGAACAGCCCACTCAAGAGAAGAACCACTGCAACATATGCCTTAAAATCTAAGTGCTCACAGTTGATGGTACCAACAGCTGTTAAAAGGTTCAACAGAACCACATCATACTTCCTCTATATAGGTCCTACCACTAGTCATTCATAAGAGCAACTTATATCCAGACCTGAATCCTGATTGATAGGAGCCTGCATAATCTCCTCATTGTAATTTATGTCCTTCCACCTTTTGTTGAACATTTCCATATTAAGGAAGGGTTGAGCAGATCAGTATATCAAAAGAGTTTGGGTAAAGGAAAGAGATATTCAGGAAGATATCCACTAAACCGTGGCTTTTGGTTTTAGGGCCTTCTGTGTTTGGGGACTTATCATCATCAGTGCCAGATGGTGTTACCCTGTCCAAACAGACCTAGGGCACAATCTGGGAGTTCTACTGGTCTCACAATTCCTGCTTGAAGAATTGGGCATCAGTTGTGCCCATTCCTGGATCAGGAGGCTCTACTCTCAAGCCTCACCGTGTTTCCCTGAAAATAAGACCCGGTCGTCGTCTTAATTCTTTTTTGCCTCCAAAAGAAACACCAGGTCCTATTTTCGGGGGATGCCTTACCTGCTTAGGACAGCTGCAGCCAGGCCTCCCACACCCCGACACCTGCCTTGCCGGCCCAGTTCTTCTGCGGCCGCTTGCCACCAGTTGCATGCGTTCTCCCCCCCCCCCCCCCCCCCCCCCCCCCCCCCCCCCCCCCCCCCCCCCCCCCCCCGTTTCGTCATCAGAGGCCTTCCAGAAAGGCTGGGGAGGTTGGGGCCTGTGCGTCAATCTGGAGTTTGTTTCTTGACTGCAGAGGCTCAGCCTGGTCATCTCCTACAGATATACTCTAAGATATATTTTTTTGCTTTTACTTTAGTCAAAAAATTTTGCCAATTGTTTTAACCTTTACTGATTTAACACAAATTCTTTTTAAAATTAAGCAATTAGCAAAGTCAAAGTATTAATAATAATAATAATAATAATAATAATAATAATAATAATAATAATAATAATAATAATAATATAAGTTGGAAGGAACCTTGGAGGTCATCTAGTCTAACCCCCTGCTCAGGCAGGAAACCCTATACCATTTCAGATACATGGTTGTCCAGTCTCTTCTTAAAAACTTCCAGTGTTGAAGCATTCTGGAGGCAGGTTGTTCCACTGATTAATTGTTCTGTCAGGAAGTTTCTCCTTAGTTCTAGGTTGCTTCTCTCCTTGATTAGTTTCCATCAGTTGCATCTTGTCCTACCTTCAGGCGCTTTGGAGAATAGCTTGACTCCTTCTTTGTGGCAGCCCCTGAGATATTGGAACACTGCTATCATGTCCCCCCTCGTCCTTCTCTTCATTAAACTAGACATACCCAATTCCAGCAACCGTTCCTTATATGTTTTAGCCTCCAGACCTCTAATCATCTTTGTTGCTCTTCTCTGTACCCTTTCTAGAGTCTCAACATATTTTTACCAATTGATTTTTTTCTTAAAATTTCTATGCCAATATCTGTTGGTTTACAAATAAAAAGATCAATTAAATATGTTTGTCTAAGCATTTAAATAGAGAACAGCAACTTGTTGAAGAAAATAGATTACTAGGTAGAATGAATCTATATTGTACTAGGTTAAAGGCATTGCAGGGCAAAACATTTTGAACCAAGATACCTCACGTGGGCTAACTTACCTATGAAATCCAGGACCCATGATTCCCATGAAATTTAAATTTTATAAAATGTTTTATGTTTTACATTGTTTTAAAGCATTTTATGACATAGTACAAAATGTCATAAAACGTTTCCTGTGGTCAACTGCTGAAGCTTGGCTGCTATACAATTCAACATGGGCTACTTTCCAAGTGGAAGCCTATTGTCTGCCATCCAGATATGGAGAGAGGACATCAACAGCATTGCTTAGTTCACCAGGATGAAGATATACTGTATAACTGGATAACATGAGCATACTGATGTTAGTTCACTTCATGGTGACATGATCTCACCAGGCTGAGATGGTAGACTAGATTCTTGTGAACACTTCATCAGGACAAGGGGGATAGTATCTGCTGTGACATTACTGAAGGCATTGAGGAAATGGTTAATGGGCTGTCTAGTAAATACTGTTTTTTTTTTATACTTCAGGGCAACGTATATGTCAAATGCCCTTCAATAGCTGCAGCAATTGCAGCTGTCAATGCATTACATGGAAGATGGTTTGCAGGTAAGTCAATATTTACTATTTTGCTATAATATAACTAATAGGTATGAATTAGGGATGGAAAATTTGCTCTTCCAGATGCATCTTCCATCCTCCCATCAGTATTTGACCTACTATCACCAACTCATTTGGGCCGGGAGTGGGAGTCTATAGGAAAAGGTGCTCTTAACTGGTGAATGCTTCTTAAAATGATGTAAAAGTATATTCCCCAAATTTGGTTTTCAGTGTTTTCAACTCTTAACCATATAGTGACTAACACATGTACGACTGTCAGGAGCCAATGGAAGTTGCATTTCAAAACAAAGGAAAACTTTTTTTAATAAACATAAAAGATTATTTGATGTGATTTCTGCTAGGGGTTAATTTAAGAGATGATAAGTTGATAATTCCAAATTTAGGAGTTAACAAAAGTAATGAATTGATTTGAAGAGTATCTTTGATCGTGCCTATTTTGTATAATGAAACCATTTCTTGTTTGTGACAAATTGCCCCGAGGAAATTTAGTCGATAGGCAGATGTTTCTCATTTTACATTTGGCTGACACTTGGAGAAACATGAAATCTGCTTGCTAATTCCAGAGTTCTACACAAGGGCACAGCAACATTACCTACTGACCAGTGTGACCTACGTTATCTTTGCCATACTTAGTGCAAATTGATTTATCTTTATGGATGGGAACCAAATGTCCAATTGTTACAAGCATTATAAAATTCTTTAATTATCCTATGTGACATTTTATCTCCTGAGGGATTGCTTTTTAAATAAATGTTTCATATTGGGTCTTGTGACTGTAATAAACATATTGAATATGTTTTGGTTGTAGTTGAGTCATACTGAATGATGGATATTCATTGTAGGAATGAAATGTGAGTTATCTAAAATAAATTAAAGCTGGAAGCTATTTCCTATATTTTATCGGCATTGTACTTTGTCCTATTAGATGTTAAGACACTTTGTTTTCTTCTTTTACAGGTAAAATGATCACAGCAGCATATGTTCCTCTTCCGACGTACCATAATCTTTTCCCAGATTCTATGACCGCAACCCAGCTCTTGGTTCCAACTCGGCGATGAAGAAGGATTGAGTCAGTTTTGTACATAGCTATTTTTGAACGAAGACTTGAGTTACCTTTATTTAGATGAAAACAAAAGGAAAAAGATGTAAAGTCCTTTTGTGTACATTTCCTGTTACCTTTAAAGAAATATATATAATAAGCAGGAATGCTGTGATTATTCTCATGATTAGCATTCCCACTGTAAACAAAGCTGACTACTTGTTCTGCCTTGTAATTCTTGTACATTTAGACTTTTGGCTAAAGTATGGTGTAGGAACAGACATAGGTTATAGAAAAGTTTTTTTCTGTAAAAGATGGAGAGGACATTTTTAATGTTTTGCGAGCCTTCCTTTTAATGCAGAAATTGCATTTTACATTTATTAAAATGAATATGCTCTGCTAAAGGTTAAAATCAGATTTAACTGGACATATTTGGTGTGTTTTGTATGGATTGAAATTTGAAGAGGCTACTGAATGATTTTCAGTCATCTGATCTGCCCAAGTAATGTTGAACAGCTGGAAAGATTGAGAGGATTAGAAGATTTTATTTCTAGATGGTAACTTTTGATTGTCTCTGTAAAAGTTTCTTGTAAATAAGGTGTAAGGTGTGTTTAGAATTCCAAACAAAGCTATCTCTGCATTTCCAGATTAAAGTTCCAATGATTGCAGGGAATGTACTTAATTAAAAGTTGAAGTAGGAAATGCAGGAATATATTTTGTCTGGTTGCATATAATCTCTGCTCTTTTTTAAGCTCTGTGAGCTCTGAAATATATTTTTGGGTTACTTCAGTGTGTTTGACAAAACAGCTTAATATTTCTATCAACAAACAACTTTCATATTGCAACAATCTTTGTAAGAACCACTCAAATAAAATTCTCTCAAAGGCCTCCAGAAGAATTATTTTTTATAAAACTGAAGATTAACTTTAGTCAACATTAAATCTCTTTAGGTGAGCCAGAAGCCTGATTTGTAATTTACATTTACAGAATGAATCAGCAGTATAGTTAAATTTTAGAGCAATCCTTACGCTTAACAGAAACATCTCCTACATATATTTCCTTATTAAGACTTTTCAAGTATCTGTTTGAGGAAGTCTCCTTTGGTGCTTTTCTTCACTTTTCTTTTGCTGCACAGAACCATTCAAAGAATGTCTTGCATTTTAAGAACAATTACAGTTTTCAAGATATGGGGGGGGGGGGAAACCTGCATATTTTTATGGCCAGTTGAGGAGGACTTCCTTTATTTCCTTCTATAGCTGTTGGTCAGGTAAACTGATTTCATTTCCAAGTTGAATTTGATTTAGATGTTTTGAGTCTTAAAGAAGGAAGGTTCTAGTGAATCTAAAAGTCAAAAGTTGAAAAATCCTGATTCAGAAGTTTTATTAAAAACAATATATTGTTTAAAATAAGATATGCCCATGACAAAAATAATAAATTTCTGAGCTCTATTGCTATATTTTGTTCATTGCATAAGGAAGATTGCATATTTTAACTAATTACCCACTTGGATTTAAAAAAGTTATGGGTGTCAGTATAAGAAAAAATAACATTTTGAAAAACACTTGAAACATACTTGAGATTGACAGATTTAAATTTCTGACATACCTTGCAGAATATGTCAGTTATTTTTGGGGAACAACATGGAGTAAAGTGCATTATTTGTTCGAAGTTTGTTTTGGGACTGAAAATCATTTTCAGATCGCATTTTTATCCAAGAAAGTGCATATCTTACATATTTGGTGGGCAGTATTCTGTTGCTCAATTCTTGGTACAAGTTGATCGTGAGCAATTGAAACTATATTATGTAAATAGATAGTATAGGACATGATAAAATTATTTATTTAAACAGGTTTACCACCAAAATTACTGCTGTGCTAAATTACAAAAAACTAAGTTTGTTGGAAGGACTACCCAGTTTGAAGATATATAAGAAATGCATGCAGTTATATATCCAATATTCCTGCTAGAACAGTCTGTTTCCATCGCATACCATTGACATCCTTGCCTTGAAAACCATTGAGGCACACTGTAACGCAAAGCTTTCTAAGAGACAGAAGAATCAATAGCTGACTATTTTAAGACCTATACAGTACTAATTTGGCCTGAGCTCATAGATACCAGTGCTGTTATGAACCCGTCTCATTTTCTTTACTACCCACCAGTCAGCTCATTGCAGATACTGTAACAGCTTTGTTTTTTATGGTGTAAATATTAATAGTTAATATTAATGACACGGAGAGATAATGAGAATTTTATTCCAATTTTCATAACCCTTGCCCTTTAACAACATATTTCTTTTATCTAACATGATTCTCCAATGTTTTTCAAATTAAGATTATTCTTGTTATTTTCTGGCTCATGCCCATAATTTTGTAAATACCTCTCCTGTTTGTATAGCTCAGTAATAAGCTTATTGAAGGTCACATGCTTACCAGAAAAAAAGAATAATCTTCAGATAGTGGGCCTGAATGTCATAGTGTCTGAAATGTTGATAGAATGAGGTCTAGCTTTGTAAATACAAGAATACTGTGAACGTTGAGTTTGCTGTAATCAACTTAATATTCCTACTCCCAACTCTTTCAAAGGGAAGTATTTTTCTAAAAATGTGATCACTTATCTTGCTTTCATTTTAAAAAATCTTTTCATTCAGTTACAAATGTTGCTTCCTTACACCTTACTGTCTTACGACAATTATTTAATAATAAATAATTAGTAAGTTACTTATGACAGATTCGTCATTCTGGTGACTTCAAAACTAGAATGAGGACAGACAACAACTGGAACGGAAGACATGCATTGGGAAAACTAAATAGCAGTGGCTGATTTACAGCAAATGTGCTGAGGACAACCTGCATCGCTAACACAATGTTAAGACTTGTAGACTATGACATACTTGATTAAATCATAATATGTCAGTGTGATCTTAAAAAACATCACCATCAATCATGTTGTGCAAGATGCTGAGTGCTGGGCAGGCTAATTTAGTCACTCTTCAATCTAAACATAGTCCCTTTGCATCATAAACAACCAAAGACTGTCAAGTGTATCAAGCATGATTTGATGAAAACTACAAGACCAAGAATAAGGCCTGTGCAGATTAGTAGAATGATCCATCATTTGTCTCAAAGACATACAAGTTTAAGCACCTTCAATCCAAAGTATATGTGCTGGCGCCATGCACATGGGCAAACAGCTATGCACCCCCGTGGCAGGTAGCAGCCTGTTTGCGGATGTGCAAATGGACCATGGACACCCATCCCGCGCTAGCGTCGTTTGCGCCCACACATGGGCAAACGGCCATAGGCACTAGCCACGGGGGGGGGGAATGCACACCCACACGTGCACGCACCGGCCAGTCATCTCCGTGGCCCGCTGGCCAAGAGCCCACAGCCGGTCCCGGGCGCAGCCCATAGGTTGGGGAGTCCTGCCCTAGACCTCACAGTATTGATGAGATCAAGAAAGTGATCTTGCAGCTGAACTCAAAACAGGACAGATTAGCATTCCTGCTGAGATCTACAAAGCACTAACCCGAAACGCCTTGTAGATGTTTCAAAACATCACGGAAGGAGATGCCTACAGTTCTACAGCATGTGTGATGTAGCCTCCACCGATGGGTTATCAATGCCTCCTTGCTCAGTTTAGACTAAGATCAAACTTTGGCCACGCCTCCCTGGGCTGTCCTTCCCCAGTTCTTAGTCTCGGCTCAGTTAGGACACACTTTGATACTCCTCTGATAAGCAATTAGATTTAGGCCTTAGCTTCAGTAGAGATATTTTATTTCATTATTTACTTTGTTTTCTTCCCTTTGACTGTTTATTATTACTTTTAAAAATTAGACTGATTGTGGTTTTTTTGTAGCCTTTTGGGGGATTCCCGGCAAGGACGCCTCACTGAGGGCCTCACCTTCGCCGTTTTGGCCTCCGATCGGTCGCCTTTGAGCGCTGCGAAGGGGGTTTTCCCCGAACGCTCCAGCCGTTTTTCATCTCGGGCTGGCTGCCGGCTCCGTGAGGGAAAGTTTCCCTCAGCGTGGGAGGTGTTCGACTAGGCCGGCGTCGCTGGGGGGGGGCGTTTTTTTGCCCCGAGAGCTTGCAAGCCTCCGTTTCTTACGATCGGAGCCTTGCCGTGGCGCTGGCCTTTCCCCGCCGCTTTTCGGCTCGCCATTTCGTCAGGCGCACAGAGAGGGAATCCCCGGGCGCCAGGAGCACGCCGATCGTCAGGGAGTAGGCCGCAAACGGAATCTCCTCTCCTCGCGGCCACGAGGCTCCAGAAAAGGACAGGAGCGGGCCGTTCGACAAAACGCAAGTTTTTTGTGGCTTGTTCGGAAAGGGGGTGAAGACTGGGTGGCAGAGGCCCTTAGGTGCCCTTGTCCACCTCACATTCCTCTCAGGTCGCCATTAAGACGGCCACGAGGCCTGCGTCCGCCATTTTGTCGTCAGGCTAGGTGTGGCCGCCATTTTGTTGAGGCCTTTACTCCGGCTGAGGCTGGGCCTATTAATACAAGTCATAGCCTACTGTGTTAGGCTCTCAAGGGGGTGTTCCACTATCATCCTGATCCTTGTCTGGACCTTTGCCTGGAATAAGGGAGCCCCTTATCTCCTCACTCCTGGTATAATTCACTAACAGTAATCCTGGTATTTCCATTGGGAGTTTTCATTCCACCTGTTCCCATTAGCTCGCGGCGCTGTGCCTGCAGGGCCTGAACAGGCAGTTTTACTAGGCTGTCTGGCTATTTGCCATTGTGGTTGTCTTAGGGCGCGGGAAATATTCCCTCCCGGACAACTTGATCTGCGTGTTTACCCCCACTGCAGGGCTTCTCCTATTTGGAAGGCCCGGCTCACAATGGCAGATAGTGTTTCTCCTCAGACTTTGCAGGGTTCGAGTGCCCCCCCCGCTCAATCAAAGCGCAGATCATCTGAGGTAGGCGCGGGGGGAAAGAAGAAAGCCAAAACCAAACATCTGTCTACAGAACCCTCCAAGGCTGCTGAGCGAGAGGCCTCGAGACATCTGGCATTGGAGAAAGAATTCTCCAGAGCACAAAGACTCATGTCCAGTGAGGCTGACGTGGTTCCCCCTGCCTCTGGGTAATTCACCATTTGAGATTCCGCCAGTACCTTCCTATCAAGCCCCTTTGGCTTGGTCTCCTCAAGGGGGAACTGAACAGGTCGGTCTCCCTTCTCCCCAGCCAGGGGTACCGATACATCCTTCTGGCCCTTCGGTTCCAGTTACCTCAAACACCCCTCAGCCCACTGAGGCCTCTACTTCTGGTGTTGCCCCCACAGACCAAACCTTCTGGGCACAACAATTTAACTCATTTATGCAACAGGCCTTCACCCAATTTGTAGCATCTTCCATGGCTCAGGGGTCTGCCCAGGTCCCATTCGCCTCACCTCCAACCTTACCAGCAGGTCGCGCTGAGGGTCTTCAGCCCACGGGCTCTTGTATTTCGGAGACCTCCTCTCACCTTGGGGAGGCGGAGTCGGTTGACTTAGACGCTCCTGACCTGCCTATGTCTGAGGATGAGGAGGGGACTTCGGATCCGGCTCCAATGGCCGGTCTCTTCGATCCTTCTCTCTTCAAGTCCCTTTTACTAAAGGCCTGTGCTACGGCCAATTTGGTCACAGAACAGGAACCTAAACCTTCAACATCGACTCCGCAGGAGTCAAACCCCTTATTTGTGGTGAAGGTTGCGGAGGAAAAACATATTCCTTGTCCTGTAGTGTTCCACGACACGGTGGAGGAACAATGGGCATCACTGTCCACTTCCACTCATCCAAGCAGCACTGAGAAGAAACTAACGTTTCCCCTAAATTTTCTTCCCTCCTTGAGGTTCCTAAGGTAGACGCCCCGTTGACGTCTTTATACTCCACGTCCACGGTTCCGGGAGACAT